GGTTTCTCTGTGTAGACTTGGCTGTCCTGGAAGAGTATCTGTATAGATCAGGCTGGGCTCAAACTCAAGAGATCTGCCTGCCTCTGCCTCCTGAGTGCTGGGATTAAAGGTGTGTGCCACCACTACCTGGCTTTTATCAGTATTTTTTTTTTCATTTTATCTTATTTTTGTGATTTTCCCAACCAATCCTGAAATTAGGCATATTGAGAGAGGGAGTAAAACCAAATAAATAATCTTCTGAACATCCAGGAAATGTTTGCCGGGGCTCTGAACTTTGCCAACAACCTGGCCATCTGTGCACATCTATGCTGGGTCTTCATCACCGCGTCACCGCTAGCACTTTTGCTCTGCTCATCCTCGGGGCCTGAAGGCAGAATGCTAGTGACAGTATGCAGAAGGGCTTCAACCTGCTCCCCCATGAGCTGCTCTTCACACTCTTCTACCATCAGCTCGGTCTCAACAGTGGTCATTGGCCTGTGGTTCTGCAGCGGAAGCTTCTCGGCTTTGGTCAGCTTGTGGCTTTTCATTGCTGTGAGGAATTCTTGAACAATCTTGGGACTCTGGTTCCTACATAGCGTTTTTGATATGTATTTCAATGTCTCATAGGTGATGGCATTTAAGTTCTGCTGCCCAGCTCTGTTTGTTCTTGCCACTCTCCTCCTGATGTTCTTTGAGGTCTTAGCAACTGGTATGCCTCAGTTACTGAGCTGTGCCTCATTCGAATCCTTCACTTCCATGTGGCCTCTGCTTCATCATGCACAGCCACTGAAAGGCAATGGCCTCACGTTGTGCCACCGCCATGTATCTTTTATCAGTATTTTTAAATTGAGTGAATCTATGAAATGAAAATGCTAAGCACTCAAATGACAGAGAGCACAAGATGGTCTCAGAAGACACTAAGGGCTCTGCCCACTTCGTTGATCCAGACATGAACTTAATGACTACAAAGCAAACTATACATGTTAACATGTCATTCTTTTGTTTTGTTTTTGTTTTTCGAGACAGGGTTTCTCTCTGTAGCTGTGGAGCCTGTCCTGGAACTCGCCTTATAGACTAGGCTGGCCTCAAATACACAAATGCATAAAAAATTCCCCCCTTCACTCTGCTTGCTGGACTCTACTGAGGAAAAGTACATTCCATCATCTGCTTTTCAGATGATAGAATAAACATTAAAACAAGATTTTCTATCTGAGACTTGGACTAACAAACAATAAAAAAGGATTTTCTATTGAGTCCTTAATTTTTTCCTTAGTAATTCAATAAAGGCACCGTGAGGCAGCTACAGAGATAATTATCAGGTACCAAAACAAACAAACAAAAAACAGCACATCTAAATTTCAACAAGTGATAAATTTTAACATGTTCTAGAGGGTCCATATTAAATATCTAATGATTCTTATTATTAGGAAGCCAGTCACTGTTTGAAGTTTGCAAATAACTTTCATCCAATGAAACAACACAGAGAAAAAGAACTTTATCTCCGTGGTAATCAAGCAGTTCTACTTAAGTGGATCTATTTTGTCTTTAAAATGGAATATTTAATATACCTTACATATAATTAAATTTTTAACATAAGCAGTAAAATGGCATCTCAAACCACTGTAAGAAAATGACTTATTTAATACATGATTGAACAGTTGGCTATTTGTATGGGCAAAAAGCTAACACGCTAAATGATAGCAAGTAAAATTTTAAAATGAAAGGAAATAGGAATACTTAATAAATTTGCAAGTTAAGAAGATTTCAAGACACTATGGGGGGCACAGAAAACTTTTAGCATTATAATTAAAAGTTTTTAAAGTGGCGATAAAAAGATGTATAAGACACCAAAGAGACAAAAGACCAATATATACATAAAGCTAGCACATAAGAAATGAAGTATACATAAACACATATAAAGAACTCTGCTGGGTATTTTATGAAAATTATCTCTATAATAGCAAAAAGAAAAGAACACCATAAATTTAGAAAGAAAAGAGAGAAAAAATGCATCACAGAACAGGAAAGCATGATTCTTCTCTTGTTGGAAAGAAAATGAGACTACATATTGATGTACCTGTCCATTCATTGTATGTCAAGAATCAAGCAAGAAGAGCCTAGCAGATCTTTAAAAGTTATCTTTTATGGGATAAAGTTATATAAAACACCCACTGTTATTTGATTTGCTTGTTAATCTTTTTTTGTCGTTGTTTTGTTTTTTCGAGACAGGGTTTCTCTGTAGCTTTGGAGCCTGTCCTGTTCTGTAGACCAGACTGGCCTTGAACTCACAAAATTCACCTGTCTCTGCCTCCCGAGTGCTGGGATTAAAGCCGTGTGCCACCACTTCCTGGAACTGGTTAAACTTTTATTTAATGTGGAAGAAAAGGCATCAGTCTGAAAGTACAGAGTCCAAGATGGTGTCCAAGAACATTATTATTGAAAATGAAGAATTTCAGAAGAGAAGATTCCTCCAAGCCCAAGGCATTCTCTGAAATGAGGAGTCACTGAGGTCCTTTTTGGCATATTTATGAGCTACACAACAGTGCTGGCCTCTGCTTGTGAGAAGGTGTACAGAGAGAAGCAGATCAGCCCTGAGTGCCAAGTGGATGAACTGGGTCACCACACACAGGAGCACATGACCCGACTTTGCCCTTTGCCTTGCAAGTTCATTAAAGTCCCAACAGTTGCCAGCAAAATAAGCTACAGAATAGTGCTAACAACTGCACACATGGACTAGCACACTTGATTATTTTGAAAAGCCTTATCAACAACCGTGCTACACTTGTTAAGATTTTGTGTGATGTTATAATATTTATTCATTGGGATTCATTTAATAAAATCAAAGTTTTACCTTTTTTCTATATGAAATGTCAACTTTGGTAGAAAAGCTACTGATAAAGTTATTGTTCTTACTAGGTACCAAAGGAGTAAGGAAATCTTTGTCACCACCAATTAAAAACTTTTACGAAATAGGACCGTTATAAGACAATTAAACCTTGCAAATGCACCAGTCTCCAGGAGGAAAGTCCTAGAGGAAATTCTGCTTATTAAAATTGCAATTTTAGTTTCCATTAAAGGAGAATAAGACAACAGAAGATGGGATGGCAAGACAAATTATTTCTTAATGTCAGTTGAGCTCATTTCAAATGAGATAACGTATCTCCACCAGGTTGGGATCAGCACAATTTCGTCTCCTCAACTCATTTATCTAATTCAGTCATCTTGATTATAGCCTCATGGACTTCATTTTCAGAGAAAGAATTCTGCAACAAACAGCCTACACAACACACTGATTACTGAACAGTTAATTCTAATTAACTTGGGCATGGCAAGAGAATTTTGATCAAGACCTAGAATACAAATATAGTCTATTTGTACTGGACTAACTTACATAAAAACCCAGAGTATGGTCTCCAGACAAAACAGCAGAGTCAAAGAGATCTAATTTAAAGAAACAAATGAGAAAATTAAAATCACAAATAATTTATTCTTTCGTTAGAGTTGATACAGTTTTAAATAGCAACAAAGTACACAGTGGTGGAGGACCTGGCACAGAACCTATAAGCTTTTCAATCAAAATAAGGCTTCCCATGCCTTATCTGCTCACACTTGATGCCTATTTTCTATTGACCAAGTTATTCTGACCTTAAAACACATGCTCTCACTCACACAGACAAAGTGAAACCCCTCCTTTGATTACAGTATGCTAAAAAAGGTGTGCTCTGCTTCTTCGAATTTATGGCACCCTTCTGTTCTGTCTCCAGCTAGAAGGGGCAAAAACTAATTCAATTACAAACACTGCCCTATTCCCTGGATACAGACAACTGTGAGGACACAGCAGCTTACCTCTGGGCTCGATGTTTCAAAGTCTGCTTGAACAGATGTGTTAGGAAGTCTCTCAGTGCACGCTTTCCTGCTCAGTGCAATACCTGAATTGACCTAAAATAATCCACTCAAATAATGATTGTGTATGTCATGCTTAAAAACAAGGAACCGTAAAACGCTGTCCACAGAGATGAGAAATGCCCCATCAGAAACATTTTCCTGTCACAGCAACTAAGATGAAGGGAGGAACATGAAGGTCCCCTTTACTCATATCCAATTAAGAAGTTCAAATACAAGCGTGTTAAGTCTCTGGGACTACTCTTACTGTGCTCCATGAACCAATTATACTAATGTTTAAAAAAAAAAAAAAAAAAAAAGTATCCTCAGCAGAACACTGAGTCAGTCCTCTTTGGTCTGGGTAGAATGTGTTGATGGTACTCACTAAACTCCCTGATACTCAAACAAGGTAAAAACCAACGTTTTTTCCTTCAGTTATTGCTGTTTTGAGAAGCTTCACACTTCATTTACACGAACCTGCCAATGTTCACAGATGCAACATAATTATTGCCTTGCATTTGAAACCAGTATTAGAAATCATCTTTACAAAAAGGGTTAATGCACAAAACTGGAAGGCTTTTTAAAAAATGTCTTTGTACTCAAAAACTGTATCACAGTGCCCTTGCTAACCTGGTGGAGAAGAGATGTGGATTCCTCTAAGAACTAAGTATATGCGGTATGTGTCTGTCTTTTCCCTCACCTGTGTCTTCACAGAATACCACAATGGCCAAGCATCTACCACACTCCACATCAACAGCATTTCTGATTCTGCCTAGTGCGTAGTGTACCGCCTTGCATATTCATCACATGAAATAAACATAATATACAAAATATTGCTGCTGTAAAAAGTGTACATTCCCCCCTTCCCCTTACAAAATAATCTGTGGAAAAAGTATGAACCCCCTTCAACCTCCGTAAACATACAAAGCTGTTGACACCTTTCAGTCTATGACAGTCCATTTGGAACACAGTTCCGAAATCGCTGCAAATGACTCTATGTCAATGCATTTTCTGTCCAATGTTGCCATCTAGAGTAGAAATGTGAAATCAGGTGTATTTGGTAGCTACTAAAACCTTTACAAACTAACCCTCAATGGCTGCTTGCTGATAACGCA